ACACACACACATTTAAGTCAGCACAGAAAGGCTCAGTGCCAGATTTAGTTTCATTTTGGTTTACTAAGGAGCTCTCTGCTGGAATCAGCAGCTCCCTTGCCTGTATGGGAACATGACATCTTTCCTGTCTAGCAATGGGCAAATTCCACTTGTTCACTAATGGTAGTGATGCCAATGGTTACTACATGGGATTTAAATACTTGGTTATCACTGAAAAATTCAGTTTTGGGACTGAAGTTATCTAACATCAGAGTTTAATGCACAAAATTTGAACTGTCATTTAATGCAAACAAGAAATCCAAGCTTCAGAGCCATGAGCTATCTAGACTCAGAGTCTGAGGTTTTAAAAATCTTCACAATGAAATGACATAAAAATATGTAGCATTGATCTAACAAAGGCCATGACATCAGCTCCTGAAGAATCAGAAAACCTTTGCTGAAGGGAGATAGTTTAAAAAAAAAAATCCCAAAAAACTTCTATTTCATCTGCAGCTCCCTGCTAGGGTCCTTGCATCTCCTCCAGCATGAGAGAGCTTGGCAGGGGGAAGGGGAACACAGGAATTTCCTCTGGCTTTCAGCAGACTTGGCTACACACCTACTTTGTTCTCTTGATTTTTTTACCCCATGACAAAAATCTTGTCACCATCAATACAAGGGCTGGGGAGATAGGTCACATGAAATTGCACCAAGCTGCTTCCACATGTTATTTTTAGCCTTGTCTGTCATCATAGAGAGCTGTGTGTCGGAGACAAGCACGCTGCAGAGGACAGAGGTAGCTCTTTAAATAAACCCTCCTGCAAAGACTAGAACAGGCTGTAATTCTTGTACCAGGCAGCACCATTTTCTCTTTTCATCCAAGAAAAAAGTTTGTGTGGGTCAAAAAAAACTCACAATGGGGGCTCTGAGTCTGTATGGATGCAAATTCTGCACTGGGGACAGAGCCTCTCCCCACAGCTGGTAGGTGTAATGACTAACATGTAAGCAGGACACAGTCCCAGAGGGGTTGGCTGTCATGTCCAGCACCACTAGAAAAACAAGACCTCTTTCAGTGCCCAGGAAGGATGAGAGCTCAAGGCTCTCACTTTCCCTCTGCTCCCAGGACAGGTGTTCCTAAGCTCCAGTGCAGTGGTGTGCAGATAGCTCTTGGTTTTCCTTGGGGTACCTGGAAGCTCTCCACTGCTGCAGCAGATTAGTGCTCCCTGCGTGGACAGTGCACAAAGAACTGAAATGCCTCAAATTCTCAGGCTCTTGGTGGCAGCTTACAACATTTTTACAAGACACTTCACCCCCTGCTAAAGCAGAGTTTGTTTCTGAGCAACCTGTTCAGCCTATTATTCCCACAGCATCTGCTCCAGACACATCAGGACCTCACAGCTGCTTCACAACTACCCTGTGGGCACCCTACAATTACAACAGGTCTTTTTCACCCACTGTGTCCCAGAAGTTAATAATCCCACTCTTCTCCAAAGCTTTCTTGCAAACAGCAATGACAGCAAAACCTACACCTAAAACAGATGCATGTGGATTGGAAGATGTTCAGAGAATCATGTAGGAATGACTTTTGTTTAAAAAACATAAGGTCCAAAGTGGCACATATCCCTGAAAGAGACACCTGAAATAGAAATAACCAACTATATCCCATAATCCAGTAGTGGTTGGCAGTAGAGCCACAACCCTTTGCAGTTATACATGTCAGGGAGTACCCAGAACAGCAAGGGTTGTCTACACGTAATTATCTGGAGACTACAACTTCTTAAAGTGTGACATTTTAACCCTACATAATGCAAAGGGAGACAGTGTAATGCACTGGAGGAAGCTGTGATGGTCAGTGTAAAGAAACATCAAAATAAGCAGGTCAAATGCTAGAGAGGATCAGTAAAGAACTTACTAACAGGAGATAAATCCGTTTGACATTTTTACAGAGCTGCCTGTAAAAAGATGCCTTCTTGAGAGGAATATGAAGCTTCTGTAACTAGCAATGCCAAATGAAAGGAAAACAAATCACAAAAAAAGAAGTGTTAGGAAAAGTGTTTTGGTCTGGCACTTACCCTCTCTTTGTAGTAGAAGGAGCTGATGGAGACCTGCTCCTTCTCGCTGCGTGTGGGACTCCCACTGTACAAACGCAGGTTGCCTGGAGTCTCTGTGCGGATCTTCATCGGAGTAATGAGGCCACTATGGTAAGCTGAGAGAGCTGACAGGGACCTGGAAAAAAGGTAACACACTTTCAGGGGTTTTCACCCACTGAAACATGCTACAGGCTCACACTGACATCTCCATTAACCCAAGCTGCTAGTGTTCCAGTGTCTTGAAAGGAGTCTCTGTTGAGGCCCAGGAATGTAAGGGATCAGGCTCTGTCCCAAGAGCACAGCTAACCCTAGAGGTCTGTAGGAGGATCTGACATTCTCCTGCTTTCCTGCCCCTGATACCAGCACACTCCAAATGCCACACAGGGTACTCACCTGGGTGTGGGCTCCATCGGGGACACTGCACGGTGCATGGTCATGGGTCTTGTGAAATACACCAAGTAGCCTGAGGAGACAGGACATGGCATAGAGACCATGCAACAACGAGTAGGTTACTCAGGAGTGGTTTACACAGGGAAACCTGGTCATTAAGTTATGAGTCAAGGGGCTGGGTGCCTATCCACCACCTTGAAAGCTTTTAAACTACAAGTAGACAACCACGTTTTCTCAACCCGAATCAACTCCCTGTAAACCCATTACAAAGCACGTTTTGCTGAGATGTTTCTCTTAAAAGCACCGTTTCAAGCAGCTTACAGCTGTTAGAGAAAAGACAGGAAAAGAAAATGAGCAAATATATGCTCATGTTTTAGTTCTTCAGCATTGATACTCCAGAGGCAAGTGAGGCAATGTTTGGCAACGCAGAGAAACCACTGCAGCTTATACAACTCTCCTCTTCAACAGGAGAGACCCAACCATCTGAAGCCAACTCCAAAGCACTCTCTCACAAGCCTTACCCCATTTGTTAGCACCTCAAGTGTCTTCAGCCACCCACTCCTCCAAGAGTTTCAGGACTTAGCAGGTTTCACTGAGCCTATTCAACGCAATACTATTCTGTTTTACTTCTGCTTGGGAATTTGGCGAGGCCTGTATGGAAAGCAGCTTTCAAAACATGCTCCAGCTGGGATGCAGTGAGGTCCAGAGGAGGCAGGCACGCATCCGAAACAGCTCAGTGAAACTTAGCAGCTCTTACTCAGACTTTAACCTAGTTTTTAATGATCTTTGCCCTGTACACTCTCCTGGAAACCTGGATGTGATTGTACCCCATCTCTCACTTAGAAGTTTTCCAATGACCTTGAGAAAGCTATTTTTACCAACAGA